CGCAAAAAAAACTATTGATCCATTGTTCGATCCTCTGATTAAACTGCACAGACTGAGGCCAAATAAACCAGTTTGCAAATGTTTCTAAAACTGATCAATTGGTTTTTTCATTGTACTCATTTGTTGTCTGTTTGTTGAGATCTGTACCATGTCCAGCTTGCTGACCTGCTGTTCTGAAATCATTTCACTTTAATCAGAAAACCAACTTTAATTCAAATGTTTGACCTGTTTTTTTTATCTCTTTTTGGATTAAGTTGCTGAACTTTAAATCTGGATTCATGAATTCAATTAGAAAGGTGTTGAATATTATAAAGGACAAGTAAAACTAACAAAGTTGTTCAAAGATCTGTTACTTGAGGTGGAACATGAAATAAATCTGCTAAAAGGATGAAGCATTGTTTGAGTTTTATTTATTTTTTACTACAGTGAAACCAGAATCTGAGGATTTTTGGTTTCTGAGACTTCTGCTTCACTACTGACTTATAATATTCTATTGCACAAGCATCAGCATCATTTAAAACGTTTTAAAAGCATTTAAATGTATGTTCCACTCATAATCACATTAATGCATGCAAATGCAAATGAGCCTTTTTTTAAAGAACCAAAACTGATGCATTTACTGTTAATGGTGTCTTTTTAACTGATGGGGTTCTGGTTCTGTGTGGGTCAGAAGAATTCAGATCCAGGACTGTGGGGTTAAAAAAAGCCAACTCTCCTGATGAACACCTCAGCGTTGTTCTGACTTGAAGAGCCGACATGAGAACCAATCTCATCTGCAGGATGACTGATCTAAAGATGATCTTATAGAGACCTGAGTTTTTCTGATGCCTTCCGATTTGGGTCACATTCAGATGCTACTGAACATCTGGCTTTGTCTGCAGGTGAACGTGGGGAAGGGAAGTCACCCCAACAAGGTGAAGGTGCTTGGTCCCGGAGTGGAACGAAACGGACTGAAGGCCAACGAGCCAACCCACTTCACAGTGGACTGCTCAGGAGCTGGAGATGGTATAAAACACTGACGCACCTACATTTCTAGACCCTGAACTGAGACATTTCAGTAGGAGATTCATGACTCTGACCTTGCTGGTCAGTCATCACACCTCATCCCTCAGGATCAGGATCAACAGGCACCATTTTCCACATTCAGACACTATATAAAATGATCCAGACCAGCTTCAGGAAGATGAAGTGTAGAGGGAGAGCTCAGAATAACCAATCAATGAAGTTTGCTTCATAGTTTCTGTACTTTTTTCCATGTCCAATGAAATGTTTGGTTGGTTTAAATGGGCAGTTTGTCTGTTTTTAAAAAGGAGAGAAAATGTTAGCTGCTTCAAAGTACAGCATAGGGACAGGAAAAAAACCCTCCCATGGACTGACTCTATCTGCCTATCTTTGCAGGTGAAGGCAGAAATAAAAATGTCCCAACTTAATCCTTCAACTTTTGATAAACTGAGCTAAACTTAAGAAAAAAGTGTTTGGTTTCAAAGCCTCTGTTGTCATGGTGATGATCTGTAAACACGCCGTGAGAAAGGGACAGTTTCTGTCTCAGTTTCTGTTCAGTCTCTACCGTCTTAATTCTCTGAATTCCTGGTTATGGTTTATATTACTGAGCATCCCGACTATTTCAGGTGTTCAACTAGAGCAGAAACTGGAACCGTCTAAAAATAACTCCAGAGTTCCTCTTCATTAACTTGATTGTTCACCGAACCAACAAAAACGTCATCACCGTTAACAACAGACCCGTGATATGAAGTTCCTACCCCATAGAGCCCCCTAGTGGACTAAACATCAGAGTAACAGCTGTGTCTGCTGATTTCACGGTGGCATTGTGGTCGCTCTCGCCTGATTCAGTCTGTCTGCTTTCAGGGGACGTCAGTGTAGGCATCAAGTGGGATTCCAACTCAGCGGGCGAACAGGAAGCCGACGTGGACTTTGACATTATCCCCAATGCCAATGACACATTCACAGTCAAGTACGTCCCTCCTGCTGCAGGGAGGCTGACGGTTAAAGTCCTTTTCACTGATCAGGTACGTCCCGTTACCCATTCCCCCAGGTGGGAAGGTTTTTAAGCTGGGAAACCCGTAGGATGGCATTTCTTTCTGCTCGTTTGCAGGAAGTACCTCAGAGTCCGTTCATGGTGAAAGTTGAGCCGTCCCATGACGCATCGAAGGTCAAGGCCAAAGGTCCAGGACTTGCTCCAAGCGGTGAGTCATCATTCAGTCCTGAAAGATTTCATCTCTAAGGCTCTGCCCCGACCTAACCACGTCTACACCTGTTCAGGTGTGGAGAGCGGGAAGCCCACCCATTTCACGGTGATGACCAAAGGAGCGGGTAAAGCTCCGCTGGACGTTACCTTCTCCTCCTCAGTCAAAGACTTTGACATCATTGACAACTACGACTACTCTCACACCGTCAAGTACACACCTGTGCAGCAGGTACGCAGTCTGCAAAGGCTTCATTCCACATTAGAAAAACCCAAAGTGTTTCCAATCATCCAGATTGGTAACAGGTCAAAGGTCGTGACTTTGACCAGGCCGTTCTACCTAATGAATATACTTCATTCTAGAAGGTCCAGTCTTTGTCTGATCGGCCCAGAAAACCTTCTTTCACATGTTTCTTCTTCACAAATTTCTTCTTTTCATGATCTTTTAAAGATTTCTAAAAAAAAAAAATCCCTTTTTCATGAAAGCTAAGGTGGGTGAGTTCAGCCACCTGAGCTGGCCGTGTCTACAGTTCCCCCATCATGTTCCCTCTTTCTCCAGGGGGAGATGACCATCGTGGTGACGTTTGGAGGTGACCCCATTTCCAGCAGCCCCTTCACGGTTGGTGTTGCCGCCCCGCTGAACCTCAGCAAGATCTCTGTGGACGGCCTTGATAGCAGTAAGGAAGTTTTCTGATCTGCTAACAGCTTCTAGATGTTTTCCACTGTGGGCGTTACCTTCTGATCATTTCTGCCATTTTAAATCAGACGGAGCTGCAACAGGAAACTGCTGCTGAATTTTGTAGAGGACTTCTCTTTTTCAGTCATAGCTGAAGGTTGCTGCTTTCTGGGTGTGTTTCAGGGGTGGAGGTGGATGAAGAGCAGCAGTTCATGGTGGACACAAAGGGTGCAGGAGGTCAGGGTCAGCTGGAGGTGGAGGTGGTCAGTACCAACCTTTTTTTTCTTTCTTTTTTATTTCTTTATACTGAAAAAACAAAATAAAGAGGCTTCCTTGACCTGCTGCTGTGTTTGTAGCTGGGTCCAAGTCAGCAGGCGGTTCCTTGCAAAGCAGAGCCTCAGCCTGGAAAAGCAGATGTCACTTTGGTCCGCTACACCCCGACAGAGGAGGGGGTCTATGCTGTCAACGTGACCTACGACGGGCACCCTGTGCCGGGGAGCCCCTTCTCTGTGGAGGCCCAGCTGCCTCCAGACCCCAGCAAGGTGAGCTTCGTCCCCATCTGCTGTCACAAGTACAGAGAAATGAAATGAACTCTCTGCATTTAACCCATCCCCTTGGGGAGCAGTGGGCTGCCATTGTGCGGCGCCCAGGTTGGGTTAAACGTCTTGCTGAACGATGATGTTGATGGTCTATTGTTCCAGGTGAAGGCGTTTGGACCCGGTCTGAAGGGAGGGCTGGTCGGGGACCCAGCAGAGTTCACCATCGACACCAAGGGGGCCGGAACCGGAGGTCTGGGCCTGACCGTGGAGGGACCGACTGAGGCGAAGATCGAGTGTTCTGATAACGGCGACGGTACCTGCTCTGTCTCCTACCTGCCCACCGAGCCCGGAGACTACTTGGTCAACATCCTGTTTGAAAATGTTCACATCCCCGGCTCGCCGTTCAGAGCCGACATCCAGATGCCCTTTGACCCCTCCAAGGTGCTGGCCTCGGGGTCTGGGCTGAAGAAGGCGAAGGTGACGAGGCTTTTCTGGATTTCTTTGTTTCTGCTGTTTAGCTGCTGAGTTTTTCAGGTTTTCATTTGGTCCAAAGATTCAAATCCAGTTTCCACAGTTCTGGAGAATTCAGTCTCGTCTTAATCAGGCCTGTAGTTCCATTCCTGTCTTTATCTGCAAGAAGAAAGCAAAACGGTTTTCTGTTTTCCCACAGAAAATCTGCAGATTTGATGAAGACTGATGTTTATAGATTGATGAAGGTCTGGTATTGCTTGCCCCAACGTCGAGTAATTCCGACGTCTGTTAAATTCAGATCTGTGGTCTTTTTTAGGTTGGAGAGATCAGTGTTTTGAATGTGGACTGTTCTCGAGCCGGGCCGGGCCAGCTTAGTCTTGAAGCTGTGCCGGATGCCTCCCCGAGCAGCCCAGGAGATTCTGGTTCAGGTAAAACCAGTTAAACTTTGTTTAATGAAGAAACTTCTGGATTCAAATATTAACAATGTTTGTTTTCAATGAAGGAATCGTTAAATTTGAAGAGTTATGCAAAAACAAATTCAGATCAGCAGACCAACAGGTCAGACCTGCTGATCAGACCCTCCTCTTCTTCCTGCTCCTCCTTTTTGGTCCTTTAGCATTTCCTTATCGCCATGTTAGAGTTTTTTCTAAAGATCAATAGACCTCTGTGATGAAGCTGAGGAGGATCCGTAGGTCTAGAATAAAAATACCTGCCAGGTTTGGCAGGTATTTGTGTTCTTGCTCCTTAATTTAGTAAAAAAAAAAGTCAGAAGATCAAACATCATGCAGCTGGAGGAACTCTGGAGACAAGGTCATGGAGGCGTCAAAAGTTGGTTCTGAAGCTCCAGACATCCCCCAGGGCAGGACAGTATGGACCCCCTGCAGACCTACCAGCTCCTGGACGTCAAGCTGAACCAGCTGGAAGCGACATGCAGCAACAAGCTGAAGACCAGGAATCCAACCTTTGCCCACCGATCCCTCCAGAACCTCACATCATACTCTACAACCTATATTTTAGCCAGAAGTATTGAGACGATGCAGAAGGCAAACCAGTTGGAGCCTGCAGAGGACTGGGATGGAGGTCCAGCTTCCAGTCCGGTTTGGGGAGAAGATGATGTGAACATTCTCTCCAAACAGGAGCCCCTGCTTTAAAACTCCCCTGCAACACAGAGCGAACTCGTTCAGACGCACGCCGCCCTCTCTGGTTCCAATGCTGCAACTTTCAAAAGGAAAGGCAGTGAAATCTGGGGCAGAAACGATCAATCAATTATTGATGGCAATATAGATTCAGGATTAACTTCCTTAAAGGAATAGTACACCCAAAACATGATTAGCCTTCATTTTCTACTCACCCCCATGCTGAACAACACTCTGGAGTACTTTTTTG